AGTAATTAGTATATATAATAACTATTATAGTATAGTAGTTAGTAGTAGTACTACTATTAGTAGTAGTTAGTTAGTACACTATAGACAACACACCACTATATATATATATATATATATATATATATATACATGCGCACAAACACACATATACATATCTAGTAGTCTTGATATTTGAAAATTTTAAATTATGGATTTTAACAGAATATTTCATGGGGCCACAGTTGGCAGATTCAGGAGTTCCTCATTTAGATGATCCCAATTGCGAAGGAACAAGTGCTGCTTGGTTGGCTGGTGAATCACAGGCTCCAGAAGACATTGATGAATCCTTGTTCTGTGATGAAATACTTGAGCCTTGTCATTCCCTTGAACCAGGAGTTGAAGGGTCGCACCTTCCTTATCTCTCGGAATTTGGTCGATTTAGCAGTGAAGCTTTAGAGAGAGAATTTGCTCCATGCAATGGATTATCAGAGCTTGAAAACATAGAGCTTGATACACCACCCGATATACAGCTTGGTGTAAGAATTTCAGTCTTTTTCTGTCTTTCGCACCTTTTTTATCACCACCAATATGAATCTCCCCCGTGAATTTAGTATTTATTTATTTATGGGAAGTATATAATAATACTATATACCTTTGGTACAAAAGGTCACAATCATCCTTAACCATCAAATGTAAAACCAGGGGACTGGGGGTGTGCACTTGACCATGCTTGAAGTTCAAGAATTTTTTTCTCTAACCATGTGTGGAGAAATAAAACATCCATATCCTGGTATATAATAATACTATATACCTTTGGTACAAAAGGTCACAATCATCCTTAACCATCAAATGTGAAATCAGTGGACTGGGGGTGTGCACTTGACCATGCTTGAAGTTCACGAATTTTTTTCTCTGACCATGTGTGGAGAAATAACACATCCATATCCTGCCGATTTTACTTTTGATGGCTAATAATGATTGTGACTTGTAGCAAAGATACTCGGACTATTAGCTGATTTTACATTTGATGGCATACAATTACGTTGTTTGTTTTTATTTTTATTTTCTTAGTGATGAGTTGTTTTTCATCTGGACGTGCCAAAGTTTTTGCAACCCTGTTAGGGACTACATTTAACTATTATTGTAGAATTGGGTGAAACTTATTATTCACTTGTAAAAAGTATTCCATCTTATTTAGGCTTGTTATGCTGCCAATTACATGTAACTTTTTTTTACCTTATTTTTTCTTTCTTTTTTCTTGCAATGTGATTTATATACACATTGATTTTTCTATGTAAAGATCAGTAAGGTACATTTTATTTTACCATATTGGTTATTCTTTGCAGGATTTACAGTTTGGTTCCCAAGAAAGCGTGATGGGTTGGTTGGACCGGCTCTTCAATGATAAGCCATAAGGCTTGGCTCTAAACCAGTCAAAACCAATTTCGAGTTCTAAATTTTTACATTGGTCATACATAAGGTCATCTTGGTATACTTTCTGTACATAGGCTGTGGCTTGACAGGGCAACTGTAATTAAAATAGGTTTTAATGTCTACGCTCAAAGGCTTCAACCCAGGTCTGCTGAAAATCCAAGCTTGCACACTATATGTGCTTGGAAGTTGCAGACCTTGCAAGCTCTGATTAAAGAGCTTGCAGATATAAACATAAAATTTCAAACGGGTTAATTCATATATGGGGGTGATGACACCCAATTTTGTGAAAGTATCCATATGCTTGGATGTTGCAGAGCTTGATATTGAAAGCTGGTTGGTGCATGTACGGGATTAATTACAACCAATTTTGTGAAAGTATGTTTGGTGCTCTACTTATTTGGTTTTAAGTTTTGGATCTAATTATGCCGCACTCATCAGCAATTGTTTCTTTTGGAGTACTCATTAGTGCATTTCTCAAATATATAGTGGGTCTGTGAGTAAATTTGGTCTCTTGCCAAAATACATCCGGTATATTTGCATTTTTCTTTTATGATGATTATAATAGATCTGTCACTCTGAAATTGGACAAATGTCTTATCGATGAGGATTAAAGATTATTATGACTTTTTAAAAATTAATTTTATAGGCTTTTATAGGATTAGAGCTGAACATTGAATGGTTTTTAAGAAGAAACCAGTTATACTCTTCATCAAATGAATTGCTTCTTTCAATAGCATTACAGAAAACCCCACATCTGTGGTCTTATTACAGGGCTCTTTTCTATCTTGAGTTTACATAGCTATCTTCACTTGTTGAAAGAAATAAGAACTCAGAATGGCGTGCATACGCATACGCACCATACTAGCATGCGTCGGCATTACATGTAAGAAAGATGGAAGACATGGTAAACAGTAACATTTTCATTAAAATATATTGGCAATCCTAAAAAAGCAGGTAAACAAGATACAGATATTAATCCTAGATGTGAAGGTAGAACTTTTGGATTACAAAAGTTGTCAAGCCACAAGCATATGAAGAGACATTGTGGAGATAATGGTATGTACTAGTAATATTCCTGTGGCGGGGAAGAAGGGATGTAAACTCCCATTAGTGCACTAAAACAGAATGTTACAATATTTCATAGGGCTTCTATACTTTTTATAAGAGATCAAAATTGGGAAAAGGTTTTGGTGAGATGGACTCATCTAATCGTGTGAGTCCTCTCATCTAATCGTACGAGTCCTCTCTTTAAAAAAAATCCACCTTAGAGATAAATCTTGGATCTAAAAGCATCTATGAATTGAGAATCTCAAAATCCGATTACAGAAAAGGAAAATAAATGTGGAATATAAAATAGTACTTTTTTGTGATGTTTTATTAACACCATTCATTTTGAGTTTAAGTGGGGCTACCATTTTTCTACATCTTTAAAATTTTCATTATTTTTATATATAATTCATCTATATTAAATAAAATAAAAATTCTGAAGTCTTCTTTCGAATCGGACGAAGCACCGAACAGTTCCATTTTTCTCGGAAAAACCGAAGAAGACACCGAAGTGAATATGGCAAGATTGATTTTTGGAGTATTTTTATCCGTTATTTATTATAGAGAATTGAGGGGGTAGAGTTGAAATTTAATTATGAAAAGATAAAGGCTATGATTTTATCGTGATTAGGGTTTCTTATTATGCGAGTTATGGGTTTTAAGGTTTCTTCAATAAACATGCGAGTGTTAGACGTGGAGAAAGAGACGGAAGAAGAAATGGTTTTTTGGGTATTAGACATGGAGAAGGGAGAGAAGAACTGGTTTTCTGGGTCATGTGAAAGAAAAACAAAATTGGTGATGATTCACTTGCATAGCTAGTGAGAGTGTATATTCCCTTATTCTGTTTTTTTTTTTTGAAAAATTCCATTTGGCAATTCTGATGGTTATCCATCCATTACAATGCCGCTGAAGCCCGCTCATGAGCACGAGGATATAATGCCATAGATCATGGACACTATAAATCAGCAAATCAAAGATAGCATAAATCATGTCATGGAAAATTTTCAAGTCAGGTTGGATGAAGAATGTACTGGCGTCCATGACGTTGTAAATTTGTGAAAATTTTAAATGTATCTTTATGTAACAAATAAAAAATTACTTAAAAGTAGTTATTTTTTAAAAGGAAAAGTTTACATAGAGCCAAGGCTCTAAACCATCAAGTTAGAGCCCAGGAGGTTGTTTTGGTGCTCAAATATCTTCAAATTGATCATCTCGATATCATCATATTCATATGTAGATTTCACATCATCCGGATCTACTTGATAACTCGTATCACAATATCTTTCAAGAGCGATTTTCGATCCTCCTCCATATGTAAGCGCATAGATCACATTCTTTTTCAAATATGATTTTAACGCATTTTTGGACCGTTAATTTTCAAGATTTTTAAGCTTTCATAGATCTCCTTGATCTACACTACTTTTTAAACTTTAAATTTTATAATTAAAGATCAAAATATATTTTAAGACTGTTACAAAGATTTCCAATATTAAAACCACATTCCTCGTCACTATTTGAAGGTAGGCTCTAATTTGATTGTTTAGAGCCTCGGCTCTATACAAAACACGACCTTGTTTAAAACATTTATTACAATTTATTCTAATATTTACTTTTTATATTATTAAGGGATTGTCGGCTACAAGAGAAGAGAGAGAGAGAGTTGTATAGTATTTCCATCATGGAATTAGATTTTGAGAGAGAGAGCTTAGGGAAAAAGTGAGCTCAGAATTCCCAAAACCGGATGCAACTTCATTTTTAGAAGGGCCGTTTGTTGGCATTGAAGCTCCAATTTTTAGGTTTTTTCAATCACTGGTGGACTGGGAAAGGTATTGGCGCCGCGGGTCCACAAGAAATTTTCACTCTCCGTAAAATGATAAAATCTTCCCTGCGGTTCTTGTAGTCTTTTTGGCAAAGAACTGGGCTACTCTTTGTCATTTTCAAACTGATATAATTCCTCTTCAACTGCGTTTCTCACTCTAAATGAACCAGGGCAAGGGCCCTGAAAGAAAACCACACCATCCTCTTTCTCTCTCTAGTTATTCAACTATCACCAAAAACCTCTGAAAATCAGAACGAGAAACAGTATTAAATGTAGAAATAAAAAGATGGGTTTTTGATGTTGCATCTGATTCCAAACCATGTGGGCAACAAAGGGTTTTCAAAGGCATTGTATGCGGTTCACTTCAGCTCTCAACAATAGGTAATTTAAATGCAAATACCCATGTTTTTTTTTATATTTTCTTCCATTGTTTTGTTCCTTTACTGTTGGGTTATGTTTCCATCCTGGTTCAGAGCTTTCCCTGGTGTTTATTTCTCTATCTTTTTTTTTTTGGGTTCTGTTTCTGTGGGTTGATTTTTTCCTTCTTTTTGATCCAGGAATTTGTTAAGAGATGCTTCAGAATTGCGAGTGAACCCATTTCACAGATTGAGATGGGCTAGTGAGGAGTTTGGGCAATGGGGTTCTTCTTCTTCGACCTTCTCCTCTTCTTCTTCTACTTCTTGTTCCTATTCTTCTGCTTCTTGTAAGAACTCCATGAATGGGTTTTCCATGGGTTTTTCACATGTTGTGAGTCGATCAATGTCGACAAAAGGGAGGAGTATGAGGAGCAAAGTAGAGAAGAGAATGAGGAGAGAGACTGGGAAGACCCTTCGAGAGATAAGGCGGGCCAAGAAGCTAAGAAAGAAGCTCATGTCTGATGAGGAGAGGCTTATTTATAGTCTCAGAAGAGTGAGTTCATTATAGCTTACTAGAATGGCTTCTTCTTTTATTTTATTTTTTTCATTCGTCTTATCTAGTTCCTTTTTTTACTTCTGTGTATTATGAAGCTATATTGGTGAGCTTTTGGTTTTCTATTTGATTTCTTTTTTCTTAAAAAACGGAGTCTTTTGCATTTTTATGTTCTAATTTAAAATGCTAGAGAATATAATCCTTTTTTTATTTATTTCCTTTTTTGCTAAGCTATACAATTTTTACGCTATGGTGAGTTTTCTGTGATCAATTTATTGATCCTTGATTTTATTTTATGAAAAAGTGTGAAATGGGTGTTCTGATCCATGGATTTCAATTTGCTGTTTTGGGTTTTAGCAGTATACATGTAAGTCCTGTTTAATTGATGATCAATATATTGGTTTCTTGGGTTTTCCTTACTTTAATTGGCCCTTTTTAGAGAGGATTTAGATGATGACACATTGTTTAGAGTATCGGAAGCAACTACTTCCTACCATTTATCTTTATCAGGATTCAGAGTGTTTAACCATGGAAACATACCAGAATACCGGGACTAGATTAGAACTGGCCTGCTCTTCTTGCAATGAAAGATTAGTAACTAACTTTTTTTAAATTGTTATAAGAGAACCTTCTTTATGTTGTTCTGTTTAAGCTTCTTTGCATGATAATTTTGCTGCAAGAAGGTGTACTTTAATACAAAAATATTTTACAGTGGTCTAAGTTATTCCACTCATCAGGATAGGATTTGTTTCAATTTAATGTGCAATGGGGACCGTCCCATCTCTTGCAACAAAGATGTGTTATATGGCCGACAGTCAGAAAGGAAAAAGAAGTGAGTAATGTATGCTCAACTATCAAGAGGGGCAAAAAAATTAGTGATTTATGCCAGCATAGTACCTATAGTTACTGGGATCTACCATCTAGCTGTGTTCCGGTCCCCGAATGCATTTCTATGGTTTGGGAGTAGATACAAGTTTTCAGCACACTCCCATTCCATCTTCTTGGGAACTCCTTCCAGTAATGTTGCTTAGGAAGAGCTCCCCCCTCTCCCCTTTGGTGGATTCCATTGACCTATAGAAGGTATCATAAGGTTATTTTTTGGGTTTCAAAGAAGGGGGGCATTTTTATTATAGTCCAATTTAAATGAGAACTCAAGCATCCAAATCCTTTAATTATTTTTAAGTTTAGCTTTTGTAAAAAATATTTACTTAGTTCTAATCTTTATTGAATGGGTGCTCCCATGGCGCTCCCTAATAGGGAGCTTCTTACAAGCAACAAATAGTTCTTTTGCCAGCTGTATTTGCATTTTTTATGCATTGGAAACATGACTATTTTAAAATGTGACTAATAGTTCTCCATTGCAGTTTGGAGTTATGTTATATTTCTGGCTCCGTCAATGCTTTTTGCTTCTCACAAAACTCCCTACTAAGCATTGCTAGTGTAAGGAGCCTCTCTTTTAGTCATCTCTAAGCACAATTACTTGGATAGCTGATTAGAAGTGGAGTTTAGGAAAGAAATGAGGATTGACTAAGAAAGGATAGTAGTGTTGAGTTTCTGGACTGACTACGGTTTGAATAAGGTACATTACAGGCATGTTTTTTGACCCTTGCCAACAGAGATACGTTCTTAAAGGCTTATGTGGTGAGGACTGTTTACAACTTCAAATTTTCTGTGTCATAGGGAGTATTACAGGGGAGGGGTGATGGTAGAGGTAGTTTCGACTTTAGACTTTAGACTTTACATCAGTGGATCCATTCTGCTATATCAGGTTGATAGGATGTTCAAGAAGTGGGATATAGTTGATAGTTTCTTAGACTTGTCTTTCTTTCACTCTCTGTCCCTGTGGACCGTGGCTCAATTTGTCCAAGGCATAATGGCACCCTAAGAATATATTATTTTTTTCAAAATAAACAAGAATTTTAGTATTCAATTGGGTAGGAACCACTAGCAAGGTTCGCTCTAGCTGTGTCGTCTCCACTATCAAGTGCTTCTCCACTACCAAGTGCTTCTCCACTACCAAGCGCTTCTCCACTACCATTCCATCATCAACTTTGTTCTAACCTCACCCACTTTCTCAGATCCTTGCATCCCTTCACAAAGTACCACCTTCTTCTTCTGTCTCCTCTATTCCCCTATACTGCCTCTTTTACACAAACGATGTACCTTCCTTTCCATCGCTCTAGAATGCCCAAGTTCTGCCATCTTGCCCTCCTCACTTTGGCTCCTCGCCGTTGATCACCTCAGTTCACCTTGTCCTCTTACTTTGCGTCCTTTATGCAAACTGTCATCCTATCTTCCTATTTTTACCTCTATCCCACCTTGATGCATCCCATGCTTTGCCTTCTCTATGTAGTCCACAACTCTTCCTTCTATTCCCCCTTAAAACTGTTCATCACCACCTGCTGCTTATCATGCCTCTCAAATTACTTCTTCCCAAGTACCTCCTGAATAATTGCTCTTTTCTGCCTCTAGTTTCTTTCTTCTTTGTAGTTTGTAGTGATGAGTTCTAGAGTGTCTCTCTTTTGTCGAGTGCTTCAGAGCAAGCAGTTGTGGGACAGAAAGTATCTTTGGACCATTACAGGCTAACTTCTCAAAATAAAATAGGATTTGTGTTAAAGTTGCTAGACACTTCTTTTCATCCCTTATTCTATAATTGTTGTTCTACATCATTTAACGAACTTTTGTAGAACTGGAATAAATTGGTGGTTTGTACTACTCAAGAGTTGCCTTTAATGTTCTGAATACATGCAAGTGTTAGATTGCTGCACAGAACATTAAGACTCCCGTAGTTTGTTAAGTGGATATTAATCATTCCCATTTTGTTAATTATTTTGGTTTAGCTGTTTTAAGGATGTGTCCTTCCTGATATCCTCAGATATCCCCAAGTTGATCTTCACCTCTCCAGAAGAGTGTACTTACTAATCTTGTTTCTCCTTTTTCATGGCAAAGCTTCACTCCAGTCAACTATTGTATTCTTTGATGCCATACAGAATTAGTTAAAATATGGATGTCATTCATGTCATCCTAACAAATGTTTCCTCAACTTGGCTACCTAAGAAAATCCTTGTTCACTGATGAGTGTTCCTTGCCGAACTCCTTGACATGACGCTGCATTCTGTATTCATCTGTGGCATGTGAATGTATTTCTGTATTTTGCATTTACTTTTAAGGACCACGACAATGCTTCATTTCTCAGTGATTTTTTATGGGTGAGCACCCAAAATGCTGCAAATCCATCCTCCTCTTATTCGGCAAGAACAATTTGCTAAAAAATGGTTACGAGCCCTAAAATTGCTCCATCTTGACTGCCATGTGCATTTCAGTGGACTCTAGATCAATCAGATTTGGCGCTTTTTTAGGAACTCCAAATTCGTTTTCTGGTTAGAAAATGGATTGCAGGTGCTTGGGATTGTTCTTGGGTCCTCGATCCATCAAAATGATGGAATTTGAGGTGTGTGGTTGTAGTGTTGAGGAGGTACTAGGGTAAAACCATGTAAAACAGGGCCCTTTTATTTTACTAAGTAAAAATATTCTCCATAAAAACCTAACATCCACCTGAATATTTTTGAACTGGAGGATACCCAGCCCAATTTGCACTGGAGAAGCTTATAAAAGCTTCATAATGAGTGAACATGATTGTTCGATGCTTTGTTTAAATGTTTTTAGCTTGCGATGTACTGTGACCAAAGTCAAGGGAACCTTGTGGTTAGGGTGACGATCCCACTCCGGAATCTCAATCCCACGGTTCCTGCAAGGGATCTTGTAGGGACCCCGTTTTTTCGATTTTGGGATCTCCCTCCCAAACAAAGGGGACCACCTTCCATCCATTAGTGGAATCTAGTTCTATTTTGAAATAGATCCTCACTCCCATCAACCATGGTCCAACGTTTTGGTACATTAAAATTTTGAGTTCCATCTTTGTAGGTTCTACTTTCATTAACGGATGATACCCGGTTACAGATTTCCATTGTCCGAAGTTCTCATTATTTAGGAATCATAAGTTCTATGATGTTAAAATCTAGTCCCTTTTTCGCATAACACGAAGTTTCATTATTTTAAATTCTTAATTTGAATTAGGCATAACCTAGAGTGACCCATTGTTTTATTTAAATCCTATTGTGTAAGCCTTCCCTCTTAGTTATGAGAATATATATTTCATTCAAAATCTTATATTTATGATGTCCTATTGTTTTAGAGTCTTAAATTTGATTACAGTTGTGAGATGAGAATATATGCTTTCATTTCAAGCTTTCAAAAGCTTCTTTTACATCAGTCAGAGAGAGAGAGAGAGTAGTTCATCTTATCCTCTTGCCCTTTCGGAGAGCCAGCCTTTGAGAAACAATGGAAGCGGAGGAGACTACATTCGAAGAAGATGACTCGAGTGGTAGGATTCTAGATTGCCAAGGACTTAGGGGGAATGGTGCATGCCAAACTTGTGTCATGGCCTGAAGATGTAGTGGTCATAAGAAAGAGACTTATAGAGCTACATAATTAATCCGTTGTTATCCACGCAAAGATAAATAAATCCATTGTTAAGGGCGGGGCGCACTTGATAAGGGATCCCTAGTAAATGGCACTTGTGGACCTCGGGCCAATCAACAGAGGACCTTGATTTCTATAACTTTAAGAATCTTGATATTAGAACAAGAGGAACCCCGTTATGGGACATACTTAAACATCGATTCCTTAGCCAAGGGAACTCGTAGTAGCTCTACTTACAACCTATCTCGCTCCCATAGACCTAAGGATCTTGCTTCTTGTCTTGTTCATTGTACGGATGCCGATCCTAAACCCAGGGAGCTTACACTATTATAGGGCGGTTCAGGGAATCCTGATCTGATTTCGCTCTCGATCCCGCTCCTCCCTCCAACAACTATGACAATGACACTTTGGGATGTCCTCCAAACCGCATGGGGTAACTGTACCTTCAAACGTATGCAAGAGAGATTGAAATATCTGGTATCATATATCTAGAAAGGGGAATAAGGAGTGAGGACAACAACCACAGCCACCATTTCTTTGCTACTTAGAATCAGGACCAACTTGTTTTCGACTTAGATTCAGGGCCAATCAAAATGCTACATCTGGATTTTGGATTTTGATGAATGATGCCCCACATTTGTAACTCGTGCATATAAGCAGCCAACTGGATTCATGGGTTGGTTTCAATCACACTTTCCCTTCTAAAACTGGAGTTTGGAAAGTTATTTCTTTCAGTTATCAAAATGGAAATACATTACTTGGATATGAATATGGTACACAGCTGAGTAAAGATCGAACTTAAAAAAAAAAAGAAAAAAAGAAAATGGTTACAGCTCAGCAAAACATTGTTTCTGGTTTTTTTTTTTTATTGGTCTCATTCAGAACTTGTGAAGAATGACCATCCAGAACTCGATTTGAGATTTGGACCAATATAAGTTGCAGAAAAAATTGTGCTGAGGTGTTGATCGTTGCCTCGTTAACATGGTTTGGTGCTTTGCATCCCACCCAAAATATGAATCCTTGTTTTAAAACCATACTTACTGAAATATCTAAACATTGGCATGTTAGTGAACATGTTCCTTTTCCTTAATCAAAAATATATTTCTTCTTCCAGTATACTGAATATATTTCATATGCACTGGTAAAAGTCAATAAATTGCATTTTTCCACTTTGATACTTTGTTTCAGTTGTGTTCCAAATATGGGATTCATGAATCATTTCGCATTCATCCAGTTCTGCCAATCAATAGGAAATTTACTATGATTTTTTAGTTTGGGGCCTGCTTTGAGATTACACTGAATTTCAGTTTTTAATAATGGCTAACAGTAACACTTTCTGATTGAAGGCCAAAAAGAAAGTGGCTTTGCTCCTACAAAAACTTAAGAAGTACGAGTTGCCGGAGCTACCAGCTCCTCGCCATGATCCTGAGCTATTGACTCCTGAGCAACTTCAGGCTTACAAGAAGATCGGGTTTAAGAATAAGAATTATGTACCAGTAGGTGTTCGTGGAGTCTTTGGAGGTGTTGTCCAAAATATGCATCTTCACTGGAAGTTTCATGAGACTGTACAAGTATGCTGTGATAACTTCCCAAAGGAGAAAATCAAGGAAATGGCTACTATGCTTGCAAGATTAAGTGGTGGTATTGTGATCAATATACATGGTGTGAAAACAATTATAATGTTTCGTGGCAGGAATTATCGGCAACCGAAAAACCTGATACCAATCAACACCCTTACCAAACGAAAGGTACACTCATTTTTCCTTATCAAAACTCGTTTCCTTGAATACACACACCTATACAAAAATGCCTGCACCCACACACACATGAGAGAGAGAGAGAGATAGAGTACACACACATGAATACATGAATGCATTGGCCCTTGCATGCATGCAAAACAGAGAGAGATGTGGGATTGTCTTACCCTCGTCCCACTCCACCCTTCCCCCCACCCACCCCAACCCCCCGGCAAAAAGAAAAAATATCTTGGTCATAGAAGGTGTAGACCATGTTTGAAAAAAAAGAAAAAAAAAAGTATGTTGATGGGGATTTGGGCCCCTACCCTTTGGTGAGAATGGAGTCAAAGACTTCATCATAGGGCTTGCTGGTAGTACTGCCAAGGCCCCAGCCCATTCTCAATATGTCTTCATACAAGATAATTATAAAGGAAGGTGTTTAACACTTAACCATCGCAAGGTAGAGCATTATTAGAATGATTTTAAAAGAGTTATTTTTTAATTTTTTTCATTGATCATGAAAAATGTTTTTCTTGGTATCCAAAGATGCGTAGTCGAGTGAACGATCTTGATGATGGATGAACAAGGGCAGTTTACCCTTCCATAAGAATATCTTTCATCCTCATGTTAAAATACCAGCTGCAATTATTGTTTCATCATTGTGCAGGCACTATTCAAAGCTAGATTCGAGCAAGCGCTCGATTCTCAGAAACAAAACATCAAGAAAATCGAGCAACAGCTTAGGCGCATGGGCATGAACCCTGAGGACCCCATTGCCATGGCCAGCGTCCAAAGAGTCGCCTCCACCTTCTTTCGTGCCATTGATGACAAGCAAGGGACACCTTATGTCTTCCATGGTGATAACCAAACTAGCCCAAAACCCATGGCTGAGTCCCCTGAAGCCTCAGAAGACCCTCTTCCATCTGATGAGGATAGTGATCAAGAGGAGCTCGATAGATTTATTGCTGAGATAGAAGAGGCAGCTGACCAGGAGTGGGAAAAGGAGGAGGCCGCAGATAAGGAAGAGATCGGAAGGATTAGGTACTGGAACAGAGAACAAATGGGGGGTAGAGAGGGAAGTGAGGATTCAGACGATGATGGGGGTGGTCATGGCATGAGGAATTGGCATGATAGCCAAGATAGAGGGAGGAGGACCACTGACTTGAGGAGGTGGGATGGTCGTAAGGATCGTGTGGCTGAGGTTTCACCACGTGATAGGTGGGATTCTGGTGATTCAGAGTCAGAGGATGAGCTTGGTTTAATGGATGATGGCATGGACAATGATTCAGATGCTAGTGATGATGTGGGTCCATCAAGGAGCATGATCAAGGTACCTAAGGATCATAAACTTGAGAATAGGGGTGTTCATGAGAGAGGTGGTGGAGCTAGATTTAGACAAAAGGTCATTGTTGAAGATGATGATGATGGTAATGACGGTGATGATGATGGAGGGTTTGTCGGGAACAAGCAGGGGAATGACCAAAAATTTTGGGAGTCTGAGGGTGAGGAAGAGGAAGATTTGAGATTGCCTGGTTATGATTCTTGCAGTAGCAGTGGTGAGGAACTTGAGTACAATATGGTAAAGGAAGAGAGAGTTGAGAGAGATGATAACAGGGGTAAGGGTGGTAAACATAACATGACATTGAAGCAAGTAGATGAAGATTGGGACAGTGATTAGTGAGTAATATACTGTGGTCAACGTAGTTCACTATTTATTTTGAAAAAAATTGTATTTTTATTCCCTTGAGAAAATCAAGGAAAGTGTTGGCAGAGAAAAATATTGTCCACTGCAATACTGCGATATTCATGTGGTGTTGTAACAATTGAGAACCATTTGATGATTTGGATTTATAAATTGGAAAAGATCACTACATAATTTATAAAGAAAATAGCATATATCCATTATGTATACGGTTATGATTATCTCCAAGTTTTTGTTATTATATCTATACCTGTTTTTTGAACTTCATAGCTTCTTCTTTTTTAAAGGTGGATATGCTTTTTTTTTGCTTCAAAAACCGAAATGTTTGCAAAATTTTTGGTTTTTTAGGAACCTAAAATTAATAATTTTTGGATTTTGAAAATCGAAATTTAACATAAATGGCACAGGGTAGAGAGAATCCAGGGCAAGTTCACGAGGAGATTCAGGCTCCCTTAAAATGCAAAGGTCGATTAAGTGAAGGTGGCAATGGAGAATGGAGTCCTCACTGTGACTGTCCCAAGGTTGAAGCCCCAAAGTTCGACATCAAATTGATCGAGCAAATTGTTTGAGTGTTTCCTCTGGTTTTATGAGTTTTCCACCTATTTATCGCAGTTCTTCTGTTAAGTCTCTAGTGATCTTGTGCATAAGCTAATGACAGTGTCAAAAGATATAGATTCATGGGTTCTCAATGTGTGTAATGAAAGTTGTTTTCCTCAATAATGGTGTTTATTGATTCCTCACAATCTTTGAAAAAAGAAAGGGAAACAAAGAAATTTGGAAGTTCAGAAGTGTTTGTTAATTAAGCGATGGATACTGTTTTGGTTTATCTTGCAGTTGAATCAGCAATTGGTTGCCTAGGCTCTGTGATTCCACTATTTTGTCTGGCAAGAGGAAAATAAAGTTCTTAAGTTTGATTCACTATTTTGCCTGGCAAGAGGAAAATGAAGTTTTAGCTTAGGCTATGTGATTCCACTGCAAAGTTTTGGACTACAATTAATGTGGAACTGTTGCTAATGGTGAAACGATTTTTGAGGAGTGGGAAATTTTTCAAGGGAGAAAATTCCACGTATATTATTCTTATTTCTAAAAAATGAGTCATGGCTTCTCTAATTGATATAAGGCCCATTAGCTTGCTTACTAGTCTTTATAAAATCGTGGCCAAAGTTCTTGTAAAAAGATTTAAGATGGTATTGCCAATACTTATATTTGGGTCACAATCTGCTTTCATTCAAGATCGACTTATTATAAATAGTATTTTGGTTGCTCAAGAGTGTATTCTTTCGATAGTGAGAAGCCAGTTACTATAAGTGGTTATAAGATTGGACATGGATAGAGCCTACGACAGGGTTAAATGGAGTGTCCTTATGGATGCGATGAATAGAATGGGCTTTGGATCCAAATGGCAAAGTTGGATTTTTAGATGAATAGAATGGGCTTTGGATCCAAATGGCAAAGTTGGATTGTTAGATGCATGTCTTCTGCTCATTTTTCTATTCTTATCAATGGAAACTCAAAAGGTTTTTTTCGTGCATTTAGGAAATTACATCAAGGTGCCCCTTATCACCTTTCCTCTTTACTCTCTATGCTAAATGTTTCAGTCTTTTGATAACGAATGTAGTGCGTAGAGGTAATTTTGTGGGCTTCAATATAGCGACACAGGGGCAAGTGTGACCAATCTTTAATATGCTGACAATACGCTCATTTTTTGTAAGGTAAAAGAAGCTCAAGTTAAAAATATTGCCAGATTTCTTAATTGTTGTGAAGTAGCAATGGGGCTTAAAGTACACTTTGATCAAACTTCATTGATTGAGATCAAACTGTTGTGGATCATCTAGCAAATTGTATGGGGTGTAAAATTGATTCCTTTCCATTGATCTATTTGGGTATTCCTACCTCATATTCCTGACTTTCAATATCGGCATGCGATAAAGTAGTTCAACAAGTTCAGTTTAAATTGGAACTTCGGAAACCTAAAACTCTTTCTTTGGAGGGAGAGTTACCCTTCTTAGATCATGTTTGGCAAATCTTCCCATCTACCAGATGTCATTAATTCAGATTCCAAGAGCCGTGGCAAAGAAAAATGAAGGAATGTTGTGCAATTTTCTATGGGGATCTTATGGAGAAGAGCGCAAGTTCCATCTTTTTCGGTAGGATAGAGTTTACACTCCTAAAAGTGAAGGAGGTCTTAGCATTAGAAATATCTCATCGGTCAATCAAGCTCTTTTATACAAATGGTGGTGGTGTAGCTTACACTTGAAAGACCCTCTTTGGTATAAAGTTTTTCTTGCAAAATATGGAATTGATCGACAAGGAGTATCAATTGGTAGTAGAAGGGGAAATGTTGCAAATAAATCGAACTGTTGGAAATCCATTTATCTGTGTAAACCTTTGATAGCCCGAAATATTAGATGGACTATTGGGAATGGGAACCATATCTCCTTTTGGCATCACAAATAGTTAGGAGACTCACCACTTAAAATATGTTTCCTGGAAATATTTGATAAAGTTTATATTCCTAATAGTTTGGTAGACAAAGTTATTTGGGATATGGAAAGTGATGGAGTATTCTCGGTCATATCGGTATATAAACTACCATTCCATGGTAGATGGCAGTGGTTACTTTCACAGATTGCTCAGGTCTAGAAGTGGCCAATCCCGCACAAGGTTCAAGTTTTCATATGGCTGGCGGCTCACGATAAAATACTCACCATAAATAACATAATCAAAAGAGGTAAAATTTTGCCTAACATTTATCTTATGTGCAAGGAGGATGGAAAATCTGGAATACATCTGTTCTTACATTGTTCTTTTGCATCAAGGATCTGGAGCATGGTATTCTTAGTAATGGGTATGAGAGCCGCTTTGTTGGAGCATGTTATGGGGATTATTTCTCAGATGGCTTTCCAAAATTTCCCGCAAGTTCGCAGTGCGCTATGGAAAATTACAAGACGAGGTATAATGAGGGAGATTTAGAAGGAGCATAATAGGCATACATTTGAAGATGTTGCTCTACCTTTTGATACAGTACAGTCTTCAATAATATTCAGCATGTTTTATATTTGATGGATTGAAGCTCTTCAAAGATAAAAACTTGGGAACGTGTTGGGTAGTGGAATGAGATTCTATGAATATTATCAAGTGGTGTAATAAGTAGAAAAGCGCTCCCTGCTATCTGGACTCATATCTTAGATATGGCTGATTCCCTTACTATCTCCTTTAATCATGTGTATTGAGAGGCAAATAATTGGGCAGATGAGCTTGTGAAATCGGGTTCCTCGATGCCTACTTTGCTTGTTACCAATAATGTAAACAGTTTATGTAACCATCTTTTATAAAAACATTAACATTCGTCAAAAAAAGAGCGGAAAAAGAAGTTAGGGTAAGCGCTCTCTCTCTCTCTAACCCAACTCTTCCTCTCTCTATCGCCTCTCTTTCTCTCTCATGTGAAATTTTGGATATTTTGGTTCTTGAAAAACAAAAAATGGAGACTTCCATCTTTTTATAAAAGAGAGAAAAAAAACATATATATTCAGATTTTCAAAATCTAAAAATTAATAATTTTTGGCTTTTGAAAAATTAAAAATTTTGAACATTTCGGTTTTTGAAAAAACGAAAATGGGCAGATTTGTCTTTCTTTAATAAAGGGTTATGAAGTTGAAAGACTGGTATAGATGTAATAACGGAAACTTGGAGGTAGTCCCATAATAATAATAAATAAAACGGATATTTATTATTTTCTCTAATTTATACAAGTATTTGGAGCTATACGAGTCACCATTGAGTTCGTACCTCTTTGTCTTAGTTATGGACAGCTTATCTAGGCAACTGCAGGATGAGGTATCGTGGTGCATGTTGCTCGCAAATGTCACAGGTTTGATCGATAAGACCCGAAACCGCGTCAACACAAAGTTAGAACTTTGGAGGGATTCTCTAGAACCTAAAAGTTTTAAAATTAGCTGGACAAAGACATAATATTTGGAATGCAAGTTTAGTAATAATAGGAGTAGAGAAGAGAAAGTAGTTAAGATTAACGGGCAAGAAGTACAAAAACAATTGCACTTTCGATACCTTGGGTCGATAATTTAAGAAAGTGGACAGATTGAAGAAGATGTCGCGCATAGAATTAGAACTGGGTGGGCGAAGTGAAGATGTGCAACTGGAATTTTATGTGATCGCCAAATATCAATGAGGCTGAAAGGTAAGTTCTATGAGACAACTATGAGATTAGCTTTGTTTTATGGAGCGGAATGCTGGGCGGACAAAAAGCAATATACCCATAAAATAAGTATAGCGAAGATGAAGATGTTGAAATGGATAAGTGGCGAGACAAGAAGGGATAGATCTGAAATGAATCCATTCAAGAAAGTTTAGGTGTGGCACCAATAAGTGATAAAATGAGAGAGAGTAGACTTTGGTAGGTTGGCCATGTGTGGTGTTGATCCAATACAGCATTTGTTAGGACGTACAAGTTAGTTCAAGTGAAAGGATTGAAAATGATAAGGGATAAGCCCAAAAGGATGTGGTTGGAAGCAGTCTGAAAAGATATGGGGACTTATAGCTTCACTGAAGGTATAGTCTTAAATATAACAGAATGGTAGACTATGATTCATGTAGCCGACCCCAATTAATTGGAAAAAAACTATGATGATGATACAAGTATTTGGACCAAGCTGTTAAGATTCATTTGAATGGCATTTATTTGACCTTTTGGATAAATTAAGTACATTTTTAGTTTTTTTTGTGGCATTGCATCTGAATCTACTAGGTTATAATTATATGTGAGTGCAGGCGCAGCTGAGATTAGTCCAGAAACCTAACATTCATCACATATTCAAGAGAAGATTGGCACATTTTCGTTCTCTTTTAAAGTGGCCCAACATTGCATAATCTTACCAAAAATATGGATCCACATCATGGCTACAATGTGATAAAATTAACCTGCCTGCCTAAGTATCCCTGATCACTTAAAGAGTAGGTAGTTTTGATTGGATCCTTGCCTTTTTGCAATGTAAAACATGATATTGTTGTCCATGAGTTCTTTCAAGAAAGGATGAGATGAATTAGTTAGCAATTACCCATTTACTAACATTCCAACTTGAAATCTTGTGTCCTTTTATGCGTATTTTGAAATTAAACAAATAAGTCTGGGAAAGATGTTAAACTGTACGTCTATTATAGATATTTTGATAAATTTCTCTCTTTACAGAGAATGTGGTGAATGAGCACAATGAGTGTTTCTACACTTCTTTCGCATCATCCCAGTAGTTAAATGTCTGCAAGGGACAGCGAGGATGAGTAGTTCCTCCACTCGAAGTCTGTTTAAAAAAAATCTGAGAGACTTTGAGCGGAAGAGCGGTACACCCCAGCCATTCATCATACAGAAGGACAGCTGGGGCCATTTCAAGGGGCTCATTCTCTACAGACCCTTGGTATATTAATGATTTTAATGCCATTTTATATCCTCAGATCAACAAAAGTTTATTAGTTGTTAAAAGTTTGGGCAGGTTCTGAGGCCAGTTCCATTTAATAATGAAAAAAGCTTATTCAAAGCATCAATCTTATACTGTGGAAAAGTTTAATGATTTAGGATAGTAAACTTTATTTTCTTCCATTAAAATGGTCTAAATTTTCTCAAAATGAAGGGACGTTTGGCTACTGCCAAATCATAGGAAATTTTTAATGAAAATTTTACAAAATTTAGACATGAATCCATGATCCATATATTGTTGGATACCACTTCTTGGATTTAAAATGTTTAACAACAAAGAAAGAGTACCATGACGTTGACAAACGAAAGAAAATACAGGAATAGGAGAATTGCCATATTTGGCTGAGGCCATCTGCTTAAGGTTAAGAATATGCAATTACCGAGATAACATGAAAATGCTGCATAATCAAAGCAAGATTAAGAAACTTATGAAAGTCAGATTGTCAGTTTTCTCCTAATTGTGCTTCAGATATGTTTCTTATTTTTTCTAGACTATTAATTCAAAGCAAGATTAAGAAACTCACTACATTATACAGAAATTTTAGATTTACCTCCATTAATGTGCTTAAATATTTCATGATGGGGCTCCTAAAGTTAATCCCATTTTACTCGAGGGAGTAAATGGACAGTATACTCTAGTGGGAGTATAAAATCTTTTGGCATATTTCAAAGCCCATGATATGATGATCGGTCTCTTCAGAAGTGTCCAGTGATCTAGTCATATTTTAGAGTCCTGTATGATATGATGAAAGGCAGGACGGTTTCCTCAGAAGTGTCTAGTGATCTTAGTCATACAAGTTAGAAACGGCAGAGACCTGCCACACCAGGTAACTTAGTTCTTAAACATCGCCTGATATTAAGACCTTCCTCTAGAGCCAACAGCAGAGCATCAAAAGTGTGGCGGACTCTCTTATCCACACTCAACATGTTCAAACAGAACACCCACATCCAAGTCGCGAGGGGGCTCACGTACCAAATTCTGGTTGGACCTGTGGTTAGGACCATCTACTCTTAGGGATATGTTTCCCTACCTTTTTTTGATATCCCTAAATCGACAGGAAACTGTGGCTGACCTTTTCCCCATCCTTGGATAGACAGTGTGGTGCCCCATCTTTAGAAGGTCCCCCCTCTGACAATGAATTTAATGAATTCCTTGAACTTCCAGCTCTCCTTGATACCACCTTCATGCCCCTACAAGGGGAGGACAAACTAATCTGGTGCCCGTCACCCTCTTGGCCTAGTTTCGGTGTCTTCCTTTTACCGAAAGCTTACATAACTTCCCACCTTCCCTTTGAACCCACCTCAGTCACCATCAAGGCTTGGTTTTCTCTCATTTACCCCAGGATCCAATTTTTCAATTGGATTGCCCTCCACCAAAGAGCCCTTACTGTAGACCAATTACAGTAGAGAGGTTTAATAATACCCAGCCATTGTTCTACGTGCTTTGGAGCTGAGGAAACCAACGACCATTTATGCATCCATTGCCCAATCGCCTCTTTCATCTGGAGTCTCACACTCCAGCTATTCCATTGGCAATGGGTTACCCCCCAATCTATCCGTCTGACTTTTTTCCTCCCTCCAACCCTACCCTCGGCCTAAATCAGGTATTCTTATTTGGAAGGCATCCATCCATCTTTGCACTGAACCCTAAACCCTGCTGGGGAGCCTAATTTTTTGGATGTACACAAGCCCTGATCATTGGAGTGATCCTTTTAGTAATACAATGTTAATTTCATAAATAAAAAAAAGATATTAAGCTAGACAATGAGGCCCCAAAGAACATATCCCTATATTACATTCAAGGTCAATGTAATTAAAATGCGGATTCCTAATTAACCCTGTATCTGGAATTATCAGAGAAGAAATAAAATGATAGTAGAGTTGGAACGAACAGCATAGTAATAGAGCAACTACTATTGCAACCCAAAACCAATATAAATAGCGTAGAGGGCGTGGAAACAAATTTCGAAATAGTTAATATGTATCAGAAGGATGAGTTAAATCACAAAAACCCTTCTGATACTTAGATAACTATTAACTAGACTACAGACGAAGAAGCACAGAGTTCCATCCCTAACATTTATACTTAGATAACTATTAACAAGACAAGAGATCGACGTAGCACAGAGTTCCATCCCTAACATCCAAAACCAATGAAGATTTCGGACTAATATGTGTTGAAGCAAAAAGTTCCTTCCTTTACAACCATACCCAACGAAGATAATTCTGACCAATTTGTCCTGAAGAAGAAAAGCTCATTTGCAAAGCAGATCCTCTTTTTTTTCTCCTTTTTTGTGATAAGTCGACCAAATGAAAAAAAAAAAATCGTACTGCCAACTTCCATGAATAAATTTTAAATATTTGTAGAAAGTCAACAATGAAAAAGTTTGTTATTCTTTAGCCCAGAAACCCAAAGAACATATTAAATAAATTATTCGAGACAACACAGAAAGCCTCAACATGAAATAAACACAATATCCCATACCATGAATATGCACAAAAATAAGACTATGGAAAAGCAGTATATAAGCAGTGTCACACAAAGAAATCTGGCAAAGTGTAGGCAGCCATAAGAAGTTACAAGAATAGTTGAATTAAGTCAGTCGCTAGATAACACAAAATCCCAGCTCACGAAAGCCCAGGAAGTCGCTCAAAATTTCCATTTCAATCGCAAAAAGTGGAGGAAAGGGGATTGAGTCCACACCAATGAAGATAGAGAGGGCAAACTTTCGAAAGCAGCAGCTACCCCCAAATTCTCCATTGGCAAATTGCCATATGCTACATATGAAACAACCCTACACTTCAAAAAATTACAAAAATTTCATCTCCGAAGTGCAATAAGCCACCCACTCCTTGCTTTCCTCTCTCCTCTCTCTGAAAGACTGATCCAATCCAGTTGGCCATCTTGATACATAGCCACCATAGCACACATGATTTAACACTTGGAACCAGCAGCTTCCCACCATTATCAGCTTTTAAAACTTCAAAATTCAAAATCCACTTCCAAAAAGATCACCCACGTTCCCTCAAACAGTTGCCTGGCAATAGATACTTGTATTTCTCAGCATTTTGCAAGAGATAAGAAGGTAAGTGAACAGCTGAATAAGAACGGGGTACAGGTCCAAGTTTCCCAATAATCTCCTTGAAAGTGTATTCTTCAGGTAACATGTCAAAAAGGTCGGCCCCCTTACATATAATATCTTGAATTCTAGAATGTTTCAGGAAGTCAGAGAACTTCACTCTATCCACATGGCTATAAGCTTTCATCTTGAATGTAAATTCACTTATATGCCTAAAGCAAAAACTGCAATGCCACCCAGCATCAGCCAATAAATCATCAGTCCGGCGATAATGGGCATATCTTGTCTTGCCAGTCTGATATCTATGAACAGAGGCCCTCCAGCTCTTATCATCGACGAGAAATTCAAAGGAGTAAAGGTAGTTTTTTAGTCTCAGGTGCAAGACACGGGGAATATCATCACACCAGCGAAGGAGGTTAATGGTGTGAGCACTTGGTATCTCATCAACATCAGACATTATCAATAAGTCATCATCAGTTATGCCTGCAAACCTCAAGAGACGATCAAGAGCCACCCTCTGATAGGCCTCCTCAACAAATGGGTTCTCTCCTTTCTTGAACCTCCCCCCAATCATCCCATAAGTTAACCTGCTCTCGACATATTTGAATTGTTCTTTATTATTTTTGAAGAATAGAGGCTTGGGGATGCCTGAAAATGTGGAATTCGATTCGAGGAGAACAAATTCAGTTATGTATGGGTATAGCTCGTTCCACCGAATAGAGAGCATATCTAGCTCGTTATTGAATACGACGGCGTCATATACACGACGAGGTGATTCTCGAACACCCCATCCATGTAGTTTGCATAGAGTTTCCATGGAGACGTTCTCATGATAATAGTGGGGAATATCATGGAATGGTTTCGGTGCTCTGTCCCATATGGGTCTTAAGAAATATGTAATCTTTTGGCTATGGAGATACACACCAAATATACATAGGGGGACTACTACAAAGAGGAAGATGAAGGCTTTCAAGTCCATACCCCTGAAGATGCATGGAAGGCGCGACATGCTCGATACCGACTGAGTGGCCTCCTGCAAATGGTTTAAAGACGATTTCTATCAGTCTAAAGAAAGGGAAACACCTTGATTTAAACCCAACTGCACTTGTGCAATTAGAATGCAAACGAAGATTTCTCGTATTGAAAAGAAAAAAGGTCAATTGAAAGAGAATTTTGATGACATTAAAAGAAACAGAGAAAGAGGATACCTACACTATCATGGATATCCCAAGTAAGAATCAGAGCAGCATAATGCTTATGTCCAAACAAAGCAAAAAAACCCCATTCTGTCATCCAAGAATTCCCCATTATTAAAAGGAAAAATATAAAACTTGTAGAATCATCTTCTAGAAACATATGTTCTATTAAAAATACATTTGCTGCTCAAAAAACCCTTCAAAATCATTGAAAAAAAATTATGATTCTAATGATACGAGAAACCAGATATATCATCTCACAATCAGCCTAACAGCCACAGAATCTCAAATTCATGGTTAAATACATAAACAAAAGCAGGTTGTTTTTAATTTTCTGAAAACATAATCACATGTATCCAAAAAAAAAAATCCTCTCTTTAAACAGAACACAACATTCACGAAAAAAAAAATTTGTGATATCGCCCTTTTCATAAGATTCAAGGGTTTTGCATAGAGGTTCCAGCACAATCACCGTTTCCCTTCAAGTCAAATACGGCAACAATAAAACCCAAAAGAGGAAAAATAAAGAAAAATAACAATCTATCCATCAAACTATCAATGAAACAAATAAACCCAACAAAAAAACACGATCTAAAAAAACAAGTTTCGGAGCATAAATACCTCTCCACAAACTTCCTCGCATATAGCATCAGTCTTCTTCGACATATAGTACCCTTCAGGCATCATGTATCCCGCAAAATAAACCAGAAAAAGAGAAGGTGATAATGGAATGAAAAACACCCTAACTTCCAACGCATGCAGTGAACAAATAGCCGATTATTTCGAAGATGTTGCCCAGCACTGTTTTTGCGAGATCCTACCACACATCTGGCGATGGATCAAATTTCCGGCAATAAATCCGGGGGAAAATCGCCCGGAAAACCGTGGCTTGGCCCTCAAAGCGCCTCTCGACGAGAACCCAAGAGACCGAATCGCGGTTTGAAGGCTTCAGACAAGAGAGAGAGAGGAGAGAGAGAGGAGAGAGAGGGGGAATTCCGAAATATATTAAGGGGGTGGTGGAGTTTTTATTGAAAAGAAAGTGGAAATTTAGCCGTTGTCCCTCTCTAGGTTACTCTAATGGACATGATTTTTTTGAAAAAAAAAAAGGGTAAAAAGGAGCCGTTTCTCTCTCTAGGTGGCTCCTCTAATGGCCGTTGCTGGTTCTTCGCACACACAAACACTCGTTAAAAAGGCCCCCCTCTACCTTGGATATTTATAGGCTTTAGAGAGAGAAACTTTTACGCCATTTAACTTAATTTCCCAGAAAATACCCACTTCTCTTGCTATTTTGTATTTTAAAATTACTAAACTGCCCCCATTCCTTCAAATTTTAGGGACCATTAGACCTGTTCTCTCCGGTAGGAGTGGTTACGGGTCGGGTTCGATTGAGCCTGGACCTATGTTCAGACTCGTCAGGTCCTATGTCTATCTATCGAGTTTTGGGTTTGGTCGGATCCGTTATCACCCCATGACCATGAGCATTTTGTTTTTTCTTTTTTTGCTTTTTTTTTACTGTCATATACCCTATGATTAGGAGCTTCTTATGCTTTTGCTAATAATGATATAAATGTTGTCAATATTGTGATAACATGAACACCTAGTATGTATCTAAACACTAATGATTGTCAACATATACCTTATGACTATGAATACGGGTTGGATCCGGTTGAATCCAGACCTGGATCCGAATAATATTCAGGTCTAAAATTTAGACCCTTACTCATATATCACTATTATCCCCTTTGCCCATAATGTAGGGCATACCTTTAAAGTTTACCTGGTAATACAATTCTCAACTCAGGTTGAGCATATCTATAAAGTTTAGAAATACTGAAAATAGTCGATGCAAATAACTTCTTACAAGATGTAATATTTTTAATATTCAAAATCTTTTTTTATATCCGTACATTTCAATAACCAAATAATCAATTAGGGGGTCTCCAATATCGTAACACTCTTTTCTAATATAAAGTTACAATCTTACATAAGTTTTCTCCTTTTATATTTGGATAGGGTTATGAGAGTAGTACTTCAAATGGGTTTGTAGGGAAGAAAACTTGTGAAGGGTAAGATGGCAATTGCAAAACAATATGAAAGGTATTATAGTAACTTACAGCAATAATAAAGTGGGGCTCCTCACTGGCACATGGCAGTAGCCCCACACGCACATGACTGGGCAAACCACGCCAACATTTATGTTTCGTAATCAAAGAACCATTCTCTCTCTCTCTCTAACATGAGGACTTCTCCATCTCTTTATCTTCCTCTCCATAATTTCCCCCATCAAACTTTCATCAACAACTACTCATCAAATCAAAACCACGACCTCAACATCTTATCCAAGCATGCATTTAATATCAAGGAAAGCATGCATTTAATATCAAGGAAAACGATTCAGTCGATATTATTTACTTTTAGTACAAAGTGCACATAATTTAAAAGAAATTTTTTCGAACTACGTCATACACTTAACCTATTAGATTTCATATGGAATGATCATACATAATTATGACCTACTTTTACGAGCGGTAAATGGTCTTATCGTATACAATCCCTAATCTTAATCTCTGCATTTATGCTTGTGCTCGTATACATTGAAGTGAAAAGCAACATGAGCATTCAATAAAAAATTATCTCCTTGTATGCAGTCCCTAATCTTAATCTGTACATTTATGCTTGTGCTCATATACATTACAGTGAAAAGCAACATGAGTATTCATTCAATTTTGTGTTATGTGCATTAGAAATAGAACCAGTCCTATAGGTTTTTTGAAGCATGCATTTCCTTCCTTTAACTATGGGGGATAATAGCCAATGAGAACTGTCCATACACTCATAAAGGGTTTGCATTTATATATTATAATTTTTCTTTGTTTCCTTTTAAATATGGTCTCATAAAGCTAAGCTCACAAGTAGTTGCTTCAAAATGGGGATATTTGCTTTAATGAGCAAACATTAAGGCTCTAAATGTTGGAATCAATGAGGCTTTAAAGGTTTCTTAAAGGAAACCTATTTGATATTTTTTATTTTAAAGTTTTTGTATAAATCTTGTACAAGGATAGTAATAAATGATATTAAAATGTATTAAAAGTAATTCCTTTTCCGACAGCTAACATGCAAGTCTTTTTCATTCTTGGTTACATTTATGTGCCCTTTTGGGAAGTCGTCGCATTTTAGGTTTTTTAAAGAATAGTGGGTATGTACATTGTGATGCATGTGAAGACAAACAATGTGTTGCATATCACCTCAACTGTTCGATACTAACATTGGATGGTTGAGATGTGTAGTTCCATTGTTCTAATGGACATTGAATGTACTTGCGCAAATGAATGCTTCACCTAGACGATTCGCTGTTGACAACTAAGAGTTAATGCATTATAGTATTTGCATGCTTCATTGTATCACAGTGCAAATACACGTACGTACAAGGTAAGTAGAATAATTTTGACAGTTCACACCCTTTTTAGAATGTAATATACGTGATATTAGGGGCCTTAATTACAAAAAAAACTTGTAAGCACGTATCATAGTATGTGTGTGTTTGATTTATGTGAGCCCAGTTCATTTTTTTATATATAAAACCCAGTGGATTTAATTGAGCCACTATGCCTACCACATCATGGTGCGTATTATGAGAAAATGAAGTTTAAGATTTTAAACACTTAGATTTGACGTTTCGAAATTGAATCATCTATGTTCAATCTTAGAGTTTAATTTAAAGTGTGTGGTTTCCATAAGTTGCAACCTTAAACAACCCAATTGAGATGCACCTTCATATTTTATCATAATATATAATTTTGATGTAAAATGTTCTTAGGGTTATCTCAAAATATATTTTTATATCTAATTATAAAATTTTAAATTCCAAAAATGGTAAAAATCAAGTAGATCAATAAACATATGAAAATATTGAAAATGGATGGTGTAGATAATATGTTGTGAGATACACTATTTTTGTGACTCAAAATATTTTTATTTTTTATAGTCATACATCTCGATGTCGAGATGATCAATCACAGGGTTTTTCAATATTAAAATAACCTTTTCTGATGGATTTTTTAGGTGTATCCGTAGTTCTATATTTTAAGGTTGCAATTTAAAAATCTTGAAGTTTATATTGCAGATCTTATTATTAGCTGTTTTGCCAGGGGGAGCAAGGATCAAGCGTGCATTTCTCTCCCACGGGAGCACGCTATCTTTTTTATTTCATCAGCAATAAAAAATGACTTGGTTTTTTTTTCTAGATGACTTTAAAGAAACATATGTTCTGTATTTTATTAATACACTCATCAGATCTAGGTTGGAAATTCTTTATAAGCCAGGTTGCTCCATAAGAAAGAAAGGATAGATTGTGAATCTCCTCACTTTGAATCAAGCCCCCAAAAGTGAGTTAAAAGTCATCAGCAAATACATCCTCATGTATTCTTATGATATTTCATTTGCCTCTATTTTCTCATGGGTATGGTTTCTATAAGGTTCCAACCTTAAACAATCAGTCAAGACGCATCTCTAAATTTTATCATAACATACAATTTTGGTGTAAAAAATTTGTAGGATTGTCTAAAAATCCATTTTCGTATTTAATTATAAAATTTTGAATTCCAAAAATAGTTAAAATCAAGTAGATCTATAAAAATATGAAAATCTTGAAAATGGACAGTCTAGCTAATGTGTTGCAAGATGCACTCTTTCATATACTAAAAATCTTTTGTTTTTTCTTTTTCATATTTATAAGATGATCAATTAGAGGATTTTTCAACATTAAAATAACCTTTTTGTAATAGATTTTTTAGATACATCTTTAGTTCTACTCTTTAATGTTGCAACTTTATATAAACTTTTTCCTTTTCTCATTAAATGACCACTACATCCTCTGGTTCAAACATTGATCAAATCAACTATTATTGCCCACTATATGATCCAAGGGTGACTTGACCCTTGAGTCTATCGACCCAAGTCAAAGACAAAAATCATATAGAGAGAAGAAGTATTCAAGAAGGAAAGAAAACCTATCCAACCGACGTACTGGTGTCTATTTTACCAATGGGTCTAAAAAGGAACGATGATAAGTGGCTCATTGAAAACAACATGTGTAACAATGAACTAGATCTATAAACATGTGAAAATATTGAAAACGGACAGTCTAGATAATGTGTTGCAAGATACACTATTTTTTAGACTCAAATTTTTTTTTTTTTTTCATATCCATACATATCGATGTCGAGATGATCAATTAAAGGGTTTTCAGCATTAAAACAATCTTTTTCGATGGATTTTTTAGATGCATCTTTACTTCTACATTTTAAGGTTGCAACCTTATATAACCTTTTTGTTGGATGAATGTGGTAATTAAATGGCTTTATGAGTGTTTGTAATAAAAAATTTGATATAATGGAACATGAACTCAGTAGGAGTGTAGTCATGTGTGGACTATACTAAGCAAACGTTGTTTGCTGATACCACGGACTGAGTTTAACGATCTAGCCAGTCAGCTGGGAAAAACCTATGTTACTTGGACATAGAAAACCATCTGATAAGGGTCTAATAGGTCAACTCTTGATGAGGTTTTAGTATGCCCGTTGAGTGAGTCGAGGGACTGTGTAACCTTTGTGTATGATGGTGGCCTTCAGAGACGGGAGCCAAAGCCTCATCTGCGAGTCATCACGCGGTATGCATATCGTTTCGAGAAAGCGAACCACCTTTTAAGGTGAAACTTATGAATATACGAGAGATACCCCTATGTGGCATAAGAGTTGTGTCGCATCAGGTCTAGGTGACATTGATACGTCTCTAGGAGAGAACGTAAAATCCACAAACTGGGATTACAACCGCTTAGCTCATCGGCCAAACTTTGGTGACCTACTAATGAGCCCATATCTAGACTGTGGGTCATAGGAAATACTGAGTCGGTTCGATAAAGCAAGTGTGGACCGTAGTTCACAGTTGAAGGTGGAGTGCCTCAGTGTTTATTTATTTAATTCTTCAACCATATAGATAATTTTCCCATCTAATGAATTTAATTATGTGAGTTATAATGATAAATGATTTTTAAAATTTTTATTTGAATTTTTTCTAAATCTCTAGATATTTTATTTATCAAATTTTGATTTATAAAAATAGATATATTTATTTTAGATTGACTTAAATATTCAAATTTGATTTTATAAATTTTTAAAAAAATCATATAATTAATTT